AAGAGTCTTGACACGCTGACAGTTATAGTTTCATAGTCTTATGTCCGCTTGCAGAAGCAAGCGGGTAAATGCTCTTGGTTATTTTTTTTTTCTCTTGGCTTTTAATATTTTTGGGAAGAGGTGGAAGGTACTCAACTCAGACAGGTAAGTAATGGAGAAAGGCCAAGTCTGCTCCAGGTCTGCAGAGGAATACTACTTTCGCTAATCTAGGTGCTGCTTTTCAATGCAAAGAATCTTTTGTATTCTAATATGCTTAGGTACTATTGCTGTTATCATTCTAAAAAGTTAGTAATAGTGATTGATGGCAGTGCTTAGGATTTCTAGAAGTTAGAGAGGCTTCACTCTGTAATAAGTCAGTAAATCTGTAAATTGGGGAACTGCAGTCCAGATGTGTTAACTCTACAGCAAGTAGAACCAGCTCCTAAAGGTGCTGATGTAACACTGAGAATTACTGCTTTTCTTTCTGTTCTCCTTATTACAATCTGAATATCTATATCCATACTGCTGAAAAGCTCCTTTTCGTTTAGTAAGGAGGAATTCTTAGTGGTTTCCCCCATCCTCAACTTGTAGAGAAAACCGCCAGCTCCCTCTCATTCCAGAAAAACTGCAATATACGCCAGAGCTGCACGGATGCTGGGGATCAGAGAGCCCTTTCCTCCTTGACGTGTGTTGGGCCCGGGTTCTGCTCAATCCATGCCAGCCTCTTCTCGCACGAGGGAGCGCAAGATGAACGAACGTCAAGGATGCATTTCAAAAAATCCTAGTGGAGGTGCGGGAAACTCCGCTGCCACCTGAGCAAAGGGAGGCACTAGGTGTACTTCTAGAACAGTGACCAGGTCTGCTTTCTGGTCAACGAAATCTGTTTAAACTTTTTGAGTTAGCAGTCCTGTTTCTCAAAGGATCTGACAAAACAACTTCAGAATCCAGAACCAGTTGTATCTTGGTGGGGGGGAGAAATAAGTGCAGCCAGGAAAGGAAACTAATTTTCTTATAGCTAATAGATTGATTAGCAATTCTTACTTGTTTTGCAGATTTGCAGTATTCTGTAAATGAAGCAATGACCTTTATTCCAGTAATGAAATGTTTGTATCTCTGAAGTTCCTGTAGTTCTTGGATTGTTTGATCCTTTTACATACGATCAGAATTAAATATGAAGCACAACAGTTATTGTAACAAGTCTTGTTGTTTTTTAAACCTGTATTTTGAAGAAGTTGCCTTTGTGGTGTTCATTCTGTGATCTTTGGAATTTGTCAGAGATTCCAATTTTATAAATATTCAAAATGTCTATAAGCTTATACCTAATATTCGATGCATGCACTTGCAGTGCCCAGGAGCTAAAATCCTTTTCTGGTTAAATGCTTTCTTCTCTCCATGCCCACATGCTATTTTGCATAAGTGGCAAAGATTTAACTCTTAAGCCGTAACTGCTACTTGGATGTAATATTTGTGGCCAGTAAGTAGGAAAAAGTTTATCGCAAAATCAAACCATTTCCCTTCTTGTAGTATTTTGGAACTGATTGTCAAAAATTTAAATAGGATTGGGGCTGATGCCTCTGCCCAAGGAAAGGCTAGAAGGAGGGTTTTTCATTGGTAACAGTACAGTTATTAAATTGAGGGAAAACATTTAGTCACTTACTTTGGAATTGGTTGAGTTTATACTCTTTTTCTCATTAAATCTCAAGAGTCAGAGGGTAGTGTTAAAGCTTACTTGCCAGGAGTTCTCAGGGACTTAATTCCCAAACCAGGCAAATGAGTCCAGAAATGCAAGTCAAATGGAGAGTACCAGCAAAAAAATCTGGGGAATGTATTTGGGACGTCAATATATGGATCAGGTTACAGATGTACTTCAAATGCTTAATGCTCTGTAAGAATCCATTTCTGTAGTATTGCAAATCTTTTTTTTTTTTTTCTTTTCAATTTCTCAAATCGTGGTAAGGCAAAAATTATTGGGTTGGTTTGTGTTTTTTTTCCTTCTACTTTCTTTTAACAACTTCTGAAACAGGAATCCAGAGCAGGTAAATGGATAGACTTTGGCACAATGACTTTATTAAATTCTATGTATCTCTTGGTCTTTCCTTCCCTACAAGCTGAGTACTTCCAGATTTTTTTCTGAGTAACTTTATTTCCCTGCTGTATCTGGAGAACTGAGTATTTGTATCTGACCTCTTAATAGACACAATGTATCTTACCTTTCCAGTCTGGTCGTTATTGTGGGATGTTTTGCCAGTTTTCCTGAAGGCTCGTAAAATCTGCTTTGGTCCTGCTGACCTCTCTTCATTCCTGTGACTAAACGCAAGAACTTAATACTGTGGTGTGCTACTTGAAGAGGGCTGAGAAGGCTCCCTGGTTAAGAAAGCTGTTTTCCCCATGGTTCAGATGCCCAGCATCTGAGCTTTGTTCAATTGACTTGCAGGAACTGGATAAGTATTGGTAACCTGCTGCATAAAGGACATGTTAAACATCTGCTACTGCTGAGGGGAGAGGCCTGGAAGGTGGTACTTAAAATGTTCTTGTGTTTCAAAAGGCATGTTTATTCTCTTTGATCTACTTTTTAAGGAAAGTAAGGTAGCTTAGTCTTACATTTACACGGGGGCCTGATTTTCTGCTGGAAGGAAGGCAGTCAGTGTTGTTATTGAAAACAGTTTTCTTCTATTCATCTTTGTTTTGCACAGCATAATCTGAAAGTGCTGAAAGCCTCTATTCTAAAGGGAAAGCTTTCACGCAAGGAGGCATTCAGCGTGCTTTGGGGCACGTGTTCTTTTCCGCAATGTTGTGCTTCTCTACTGGAGAAGACCAAGTGTCTGGTTTGTTGTTGTGCACATGGTTCAGGATTAGCTTTGTCAGCTGAGCTACAACATATGTGTTTTTTCTCTGCACTGTTTTTGTTTACACTGAAGTAAAGTATCTCTTGACCAGCCAGAAGCATTTCCACATGATACTTAGGAAATCAAAATGTGGGGGAGGGAAGTTGTGTTTTTTCTGCTTTTATGTCGGAAGAAGGAATGTCTAGGTGGGGATCATAACAACCTGCAATTTTCAGACAGGCAAGGCTTGATGGTGAATGTCTGTCTTCTGGTATTTTTTTTTCCCTATCACATAACTTGCTTTCAACAGAAATCATGATTTCACTGTCATCTTTATGGCAGAAACAATTAGTGTCTTTATTTTTTTCTTCCCCGGACCTCCAAGTACAAAAAGGACCTCATTGCTGTACACAGTATCTGACGCTATTGGTAACACCATTGTAAAATTGTTTTTCTTGGATTTAGTTTTTTAATTTGCAGGAACAAAGCCAGCTTCTGTATGAGCTGAGGTAACTAAAGCATATGTCTTGGTGGTGAAGATGAGACCATAGTCTTGCCTTTTTCAAGATGCACTAGGGAAATTGATGTGTTTCCTGAAATAAACTTTCTGCTGCTCTTAATCCTGCATGAGCTGTAGAAAGAAAGGCTATGATGTGAGATATATTGAGTATTGATTTCTTGAAGTTATTTTTAAAATTTTTAAAAATCTTTTTTAGCAGGTATATCATGATAGGGAGATGTTTCTCTTTCTAGTTGTCCCTTCCGTGGTTTTCAGGCCTGTAAATCAATGACTACATTACCACTTTGAGAACCCTTCATGTTACAACCACGAATCTTCATAACTTTGCTCTTAGAAATTACTTATTTCCTAAACTTCAAGCTACTGAAGACTTCCCCCACCTTGGAATTGAGTTTATAGCTTGTTGTTTTAGTTGTACAAGAAAAGCTTTTTTGTTATAACTGTTAGCACTGTCTGTTAAAATCTGTACTTTGTCTGATTGGCTTTCCTGACCTGTAGTCTAGCTTTCCCTTTTGCTGCTCTTTGATACTTCAGCATTGGCATCAGTCAGATAAAATAATGTATTAACTACTTCTGGGGCACCTGGTATCAAAGACTTGAGGTGTAAATAATAAGGCTTTTATCTTTTATAAGTTCTACTAGTGTGATGAGTTTTATTTCAGGGGAAGAGAGTCTTAGATAAAGGGTTTATTGCTGTGTTGTTCAGTCAGGTTTAAAGTTTATCTAATATGCCACCTTAACTGGAAAGCTAGAACTTTGATTCCAGATCTTCCTTTAAGAGTCAAGGGGAAAATAGATGTGGTTTCTGTCTGCATCCATTTCAATAGTTTGTGAAAATAAATATAGTCACATTGTAATTCCTGAGAGCTTTCTCTACTTTTAGATTGGAGAGGAATTTAATAGAAGACAATGAAAAGATGTTAGGGAATATAATCTCAGACCACATCACAATTCTTTTTATAGAGAAGCAGAACTGTTCCTTAAATGTTAGACAACTTTGTCAGTGTTTCAAATATAACATTTCATTATGTAGTGTAGTCGCAGTGTCAGTACACAGCAAAGCCTTTGTGTGTCTAAACACTTAAAAATTAGATTGTTTTTGTTTTTCTTTCTCCCCTTGTGCTAATATGTAACAGGCCTACTCTCACTGTTTGTGCGTTTGTGTAATTCCTCCTGTATACAGAGAGTCTCAAAACATAATTTTACAGTTTACTTTTTATGTACAGCAGTAGTTACTTGCATCTGCAGTAACTCGTTTTTCTGAATTGCTTGCTCTATGAAACAGTTCCCTTTACCCGAATTGGAGTTGGAATATATCTTGTAGAAAAAAATTTCAATTGGATTGTTAGCTAAAGTTAGAAGCCTTTCCTTCTTCCCCTGGAAAGTTGTACAGATAGTTCTGGACGTGGCAGAGAACAACTAGTCTTAAACTGTGAATCCTCCTGGAAAATAATGATCATCTCTAACAAGCTCTGCAGGAGACTCTCATCTTGTAAAGTTTGCATTACTCTTCAGTTAGAAAATGTTGGCTTCCTACATGCTGAGTTGCTCTTTGTACATCCAGCCTTTCGCCACCTAGTATTTCTGCTACTTGAGAATGAGTTGTACTGATACTTCCTTCATGAAATCTTCTAAATAAGCTGGAAGGCTCACTGGTATATTCTCTTTCACATACAGGCTCGTGTTATGTATGATTTTGCTGCTGAGCCTGGAAACAACGAGCTGACCGTCAGCGAAGGGGAGATTATCATAATTACCAACCCGGTAAGAAAACGGAGATGGAATCAAGGCTTCGGTGCACTGTCCTGACCTCCTTCTAGCAGGTGGAAGAAAAAAGGTGCTAGGTGACACCTGAATGCTCTGACTACCCTCCCCTGAAGAAGTAGCAAATAAATGAAATACAAAGAATTTTCTAATAGTGGAAACACTAATTTTCTAATTTTGTGGAAACAAATGCAATGAGCGGTTTTGGAGGACAGGGACCCTCTCAGCTTGTGCCTACACACTTAGGAATTTGCTCAGCTTTGTTCCCCTCTAAATAGGGCTGAGTGCCAAGGCAGAGGAAGGAGCTAATTATGGTGATACCCTTTACATCTGGATGTGTTGTGGGTTTTGTGTGCCTAATGGTCCAATTTTTGTGTGTATGTAATCTTTCAGGTGCTTGCCACTTGCATTTAAACCTGACATGCCAACTTCGTTCTCAGGTTTTGAGTTTTTTAATCAATGAGTTAAGCATTCCAAGTTTGTTCAAAGAACTTGCCACAAAATTTTTTACTAAATTTGTGTGTCCTTTCATAATTAAAGCAATATGGACAAGGTACAAGGAAGGAGTGGTCAAAATACTATGGTAATAATACCAAGGAGTTATTAAATTAATAGTACTTCTGAGCACTGACATTTGATTTGTGTATGCAGTTTGAATTTGAGTGTGCTTTTACTGTTCTGTATAATTCTTCTTCTTTCAGGATGTTGGTGGAGGCTGGTTAGAAGGAAAAAACAGCCAAGGCGAGAGAGGACTTGTTCCAACAGATTACGTTGAGGTAAGTGACTACTACACTGCTCTGCAGTAAGAAGGCAGAACTACTGAAAAGGCCATCCTCTGTTTTGCTGATCAGACTGTAATGGTCAAACGTAAAACTTTCAGTGTTAAAGCTTGGCATATATAATCTTATTGTAGCAACTGTAGTTGGCTTTGGAGGCCAGTGCAAACATGCCATCCAAAGCTACTGTGCTTCTTAGTGGTTTCCCAAGAAATCCAGCGTGAGGTTGTCTATAGTAAATACTGGTGATCTGCAGAACATGAGCTATTTTGAGTCTGCTTCTGGTGAGGGTCTCATGATCCAATAATTGTTCTGTTTTCCTGTCTGAAGATGCAGATAGGGAAGTGAAATGAGTAATGCACGTTTACACTGGTGTTGCTGTGGCTGATTTGCCGCATGCTCATAAATCTCTGGAATGGAACCCCATTTCTGGGGCTCAGGATATGGGATCCCAAATCCAGGGACTACTCAGCTCATCTTCTTCCTGAGGGCCTTTGCTATCTCTTCAGTGTGTGTTGGTCTGCTCTTCGTTTAAAGACTGGTGGTATGGGGGTGGGGATGGAATGGGGGTCTCAGTGCAAAGACTGGAATCCAGTTCACTCTTGGAGGGCCCAGTGTCTGTGTGTCTGCAGGTTGCCAGTTAGGTGAGGCCTCTGGCTGTAATTCCTGCAGCCTCCTCTTAAGGCATGGCCCTTCCTACCTTCACCAGTGCTGTGGTTATTTAAAAAATAAAAAAATAAGGTGGTGGTGAGGGGAGAATGCTTGTTCACATAACCTTGTTTTTTGTCTTCAGCTGGCTGGCTCATGGTCTAGTAGCTTTTGGCTCTCCAAACTTGCTGTACCAAACTGATGCTCTTGAGTATTAAGTTCCCAGTCTCCAAGCAGTAATGTTAACAACCTTGTTAATCCCCAGTGAATTTATAGTTAAGTGTCCACTGCCACAACAGTTTTGCATGTTACACTGTCATAATGCAGACCAGTTCCATCTGTTATGGAAGTAAATCCTCTAGATTCTGACATCAACTTCTTGTAAAAGGTACTATTCAATTTGAATTCAAAAAGCGTATATGCAGCCATCTTAACATCTAGTAACATGAATGTTAGGATGATTATATATGATAAACGGCATAATTTGATTAATGGAAGCATGAAAAATCTTTTCCAACTTTTTCCATTTCAGATTATAACTGAAGGTGCAAAAGATGGAATTAGCTGCGGTAACTCATTAGCTGACCAAGCCTTTTTTGATTCCCTTTCTTCAAATACAGCTCAGACCAACTCTGCTGCAAAAAGCAGTAGTCAGGTATGTCTCCAGGTTTTTCAGGCACAGTGGGCATGGCAGGTTCTGTTGACATAACTGCTTGCGCTCTTCAGTTGTGCTGTACCGTATTTGTGAACCCTCACAAAAGTACTAATTAAAATAACTGTGTTTTCATTAGGGAACACTTTTGGTGAATATTAATTATATGGGTGCCTGTTCAGCTACTGTCCCTGATGGAAAAATTAGAATACTAACACTTTCAAAAACAGAGCAGTTTTATTCTTTTCCAGCCTGCAATCATATAAATCTGTGGCTACCTCAATCTCTGTTTGTACCGCAGTTCTGTATAAATGCACACTTAGCAAATTTACTTTATTTTCAAGTTACTTGTGTTAGTTCCTTAAAAAGGTTAGCATACTATAACCTTTTTTAAAATGTTTGCTACAATTGGGTGGTCCATGCATCATCAGCAAGAATGAATGGATATTTATCTTTTTCAGAATTTGAGTAAGACTTGTTTCTTTTGATTAAAAAAGATGAAGCAAGTTCATGCATTGTCCCTAGTCAGTTGGAGAAGAGGCTGACTTTGGTTTTGCTGGAAGAATGTTTTTCTCCACCCCCCTACCCCCCCTTTTTTCCCCCCCTGCTTTTATTCATTGCTTTTTGCCCAGCCTGTCAGTTCATTAAGCAGCAAGTGTTTAGTCTGAGGTTAGATATCTGAAGACACACATGATCTTAAACACAAGCTGTTTATTATGGTCTACAGACTGCTGCATGTCCCACATGTAGGAACAGTTAAACATTTCAAAGTCCACAGGTCAACAGAACAAAATCTGCTTTTTCCCAGCAGCAGCCTGTAAAGGTCTCACATGTTGGAAAGTAAATGCTTTACTCATCGTAGCAGCTGGGGACACGTGCCTGCTTTGTGGATCAGCTAAATACCAGTTATTAGTTGTCTTAATTGTAATGTGCGACACAGGACTTAAACATGAAGTGAGATCTCTTGAAAACTGTGCATGAGGCATTTTTGTATGACAGTGAATGTAACAGTATAGTGTTTGATTTGTGCTTCCTTGCATTCAGCCAGACAATTGTGATTCTGTGATCACATGTATAGCGAGAACTCCAGACCTCACTGTGGCTGTTTCACTGTTTATCACTTTTTTTTTTTTTTACTGATGGCCAGTTAATATTTAGGTGAAACATACAACTCTTGAAATGCCTCATTAATTTCTTATGTCAGACTGAGCTAAAAGCATTGATTATAGGTTCATTTTCCCTCAGTAAAACTTACAGTAATTTTGAAGGTAGAGTGGGAACCTCATTTCTTCTGATCAGTCTGTTACCCTTGCTCCGTTTTTTTCCTCCTATAGAGTTGCTAGCCAAAATTTACTTCTGGGTAAGCTTGACATGTTTATAGTAGCTACTTCTGTCAAATCCAAATAGTGTTCCTCTTCCTTCAGAAGAGAAGAGTTCACTTAACTTAAGACTTCACTTAATTTGACCTAGGAAGAATTGCTTACTAAGAAAATGAATATAAATATTTTGAATGGTGGTAGAGGCATCTAACAGAAGTTGATCTGTGCTTAACACAAGGTATTCGTGCCTGGAGAAGGGAAGAAAAAAGCCCTTGCCTATATAGGAGGAAAGGTTAAAACAAAGATATCTATTCTATGCTAAATAATAGAGAATTACTATGACAATCTACTTTTGGAAGTTGCATTTTTAGAGGAGGGAAAAGCTTGAAAATATGGTCACTTTACAGTTTACACAGGATCAGCAGTATACTGGCCCTGTAATCCATATAAATTGCATTTCCTTCTTAACAGATTTTAGGAAGGAGTAACTTCAGGCAAACAGCTTATCTCATCTGTTTCAGTGCCTTTTTCCTATAAGTGTCCTGTTCCTCTCTATTATCTTTCAAATGCTGTGTGAGACAGTTGGGAGAATGAGGGTACCATAGTGTATTATAGTAAAACTCTACTACTAACATTAATGGGAGAGAGAGGAGGAGAGTGTGCACCTGGATGCAGCCCAGGCCATGCAAGATGTGGGGGGGAAGCACATTCCTTCAGGCTAGTGTGGTTTGGGTCTTTTGTTTTCCTGTTTTCTCATAGCAGGAACCATACTGTTGCATGGTCAGGGTTTTGTGTCATAAGTTATTTTCATTTCCTGAAGTTTGGTTTTTTGTTTTTTGGTTTTTTTTTCTTTAACTGAGTTCAGTAACTGCAGTTTAGTCCTATATATTTTCTAGAAAAACAGCAGATCTTGATTTGAAGACTGGTTTCTTCAGCTTCTGACATACATCTTGCAGTTTGTTCCAGCGCTTATTGCTAATAGGAATTTAATTTGTATACTAAGCAGTCTGGCTTCCACTTTTGGCTGTTAGGCCTTTCTCCCACATCAGAGAGCTCTCTAGTGCATTATATTTTCTCCTTGCAAAAAATCTATGCTAATTGTCCTCTTGATTAAGGAATTCTATCTGTTTGTCCTATCTGTCTGGTGTAAGACACTTTTCCTGGCCTCAAAAAAAAAACTTTCTTCTGCGGTCTCTTTGATCTTGTGACTTGTTTGTAAAATCTGTGCATTGCTCCTGTGTACATCGCATGATGTTAGACAGGTTTGATGTTGGTGTTCTGGTATAGAAAAGCCTGATATAGTGAAAGGTTGCATTGATTCCTGTAATATTGCATCAGGAGGTTATACTGAGTTGCTCATCCCCTGCATACTGGCTTCTCTATTAGAGCCACTGCTTAAACGAATATCATCTTCCACTTTGTGGGTATGACCCTTCTTCCTAGATGTATTACTCTGCATTTGGTTATGATAATATTTACGTTGTTTAACATGAGTTCGTTCAGACACTTTGGATTGATCTGTGTTCAGATGCACAGTTGCAAGCAATTGACTTACTCTTTTCAAGTGCCTTAATGAGCGAGTAGGTCAATATACAAAGCACTTCATCTTAAATGAAACTTGTGTGTTCAGGCTTTGGAGAGCAAAGAAAAATGACAAATTAGGTGTCAATGTAAAGAGAATTGATGCTGGAGGTGGCACAGTAGTAGGAATTAAAGTGTTTATAGATGTAGTCTAGTGGACTGAATAAGAAATAGCAGCATTCCTAAATGCTGACATTTTATGCTGTCAATTATATTTCATACTAACATGGGGGGATACAAGTTTATTACAAGAAGACTTTGGAAAAGCACTTCTAAATAAACAGGATGTTTTGGGATTTTTTTAATACTACTGTATTGAAGAAATTACTTTCTGTAAACATTAAGTTACTTTAACATACGTGCAATTACACAACACCCTCACCCCACAATTTCAATAAGTCAAAAGATGTTTTAATTCTTAGAATTCCTTTCATTCTTCTAACAGTAAGTAAAAAAACAGGTTGTTGCTTAGTCTTTCAGTACCAAGCCTTGTTAAAAATAATAGATCTGGCTGAGTTGAAATGTGTGAGTGTGAGGGGTTTTTTTTGTTGTCTTTTTTAAGAGACCAGTTAAACCATGGTGTTGTGGTTTAACCCCAGCTGGCAGCTCAGCCTCACCCAGCTGCTCGCTCACTTCCCCCCTCAATGGGATGGAGGAGACAATCAGAAGGGTAAAAGTGTGGGAACTCATGGGTTGGGATAAAGGCAGTTTAACAGGTAAAGTAAAAGCTGTGCACACAAGCAAAGCAAAATAAGGAATTAATTCACTACTTCCCATCAGCAGGCTGGTGTTTAGCTGTCCCCAGGAAAGCAGGGCTTCATCATGCTTAATGGTTACTTGGGAAGACAAATGCCGTGACTCTGAACATCTCACCTCCCTCCTTCTTCCCCGTAGTGCTTATTGCTGAGCATGATGTCGTATTAGGAAATATCCCTTTGGTCAGTTGGGGTCAGCTGTAGAAAGCCTTTGACGCTGTCAAGCACTGCTCAGCAATGACTAAAACATCCCTGTGTTATCAACACCGTTTTGGTCACAAATCCAAAACATAGCCCCATACCAGCTACTTTGAAGAAAATTAACCCTATCCCAGTCAAAACCAGTACAGCCAGTTATATTTGAATGCAAACTTTCTAACTTTTTTTTTCTTAGTTTTATTCTTAAAGTTCTGAAATGGTTAGCCTATCAGTTTAGAAATATATCTCAAATAGCAATGTGCTTCTCACAGGGCTTAAAAAAATTCCAACAAATTTATTTTTTAGCTTTATACATTATATTTTTGCTGGCATATCTTCATATGCCCTGATAGGTCTGGGGGGATGACTGCTTTTCTTAAGTAGCAATCCTGCATGCAGTACAGAACCCTAAATCGTTACAGTTTTGCCAGATCAGTTTCTATGCATGCATCTTACTTGCTCTCAAAGTAAAACTTATTTCCTCCCTCTGTCTATGCCCATCCCTTTTTGCTTTCCAGGCAAACAAGAGGCTTTCAGTTTCCTACTCTGGAATCCATAACTCTTTGGTGTTAAGAAAACATAATCAGCTCAAACACTGCCCTACTCCCTCTCTGTCCTTTTCTAAGAAGGTTTTTTTGTTGTTGTTCAGTAAATAAACTTCTGAAAAGTAATTAATAACAATAACTAAAAGCAGCTGCTCTTACTGCCTTGTCTTCACTGAGAAAGATACAATGACCACAGCAACACTTTGGTGTTGTACCTTACCTGGGTTTGCCACAAATGTAAAGTGACAGTAGAAAAGGGGCACAGAGGTGCTTCCTAAGAAGAATTCCGCATGACCCTTGGCAGTTCACTCTTCCCCAAATCGTTCCTTGCATCAGTAGTGTCCCAGCAATAGCTGCCTTGGTAAAGCTTGCTGCTGCTCTTTGAAAGAGCTACCTGTAGAAGATATCGGGGAGATGAAAGCAATCAGAGGAAGCAATGAAGCTAATTATACACAAACAAGGGAAAAAAATGACTCAAGGTGGCTATTTTCTACACTCAAAAGAAAAGCAGATAGAATTTAATGTTACATCTGCCCATAACATTTGCAGTTTAATGGCTGAAAAACCTTTTAAAATTATTCAATGAAATACAATTTAAGTAACCC